TGTCAGCTGGCGACTTACACTTGTGCTGTGTATGTGCTAAGAGTGAAGGAGGGATTTTAGTCAGAGTTTCTCTTTCATGTGCACGTAGAAAACTGATAAATGCGCCTTTACTAATGTGTGAATTATGGTTGCTAGGTGACGAGTACAAGTTTAACCCGTGAGCTTCAGAGACATAGAAATTTTAGGTTATACCTTGAATAAAGCATAGCCTTGCCTTGCTGCTAAGGAAGGTTGCCTGAGTAACTAGGTGGATAACAGGAACATCCGCAGGTTTCTTCACCCTAGGGCCCAGGGCAAGATTTCTCTGAGTGATTTTACCCGACTCTATCCCTAAGGTGATCTCTTTTACAGGCGGGGAAGTGCTCCAACTCTTTCCAACTTGCTGTTTTTTTTTTTTCTTTCTTGTTTTGTTTGCCAACTTACCCACTCTCTTTCAAATAATTAGAAAACAACTGTGTAGATCTCTTGATGATTGGTTTGCTAGCAATGCTTCTTTCTTTTTTCAGGTACTAGGGATCGAATTCAGGACTTTCCACTTGCAAGGCAGGCACAGCTCCACTGAGCTAAATCCCTGGCCCCCCAATTTTTTTTTTAGGTACCAGGGATTGAAATTGGGTCCTTGCGCTTGCAAGGCAGTCAGTGGAACCACTGAGCTACATCCCCAGACCAATGATTCCTTCTTTAAAACCTGACTATTACAGCTAAAATCAATTTAATCCCTGCTGCAGTAAAACACAAGTTCCCAGGGCCGGGGATTTAGCTCAGTGGTTCTGCCGCCTGTCTCACAAGCTCAAGGACCTGAGTTCGATCCCTGGTACGAAAAAAAACCAAAACCCCCCAAGACAAACTCCTGCGACGTGTATGTTACACATGTGTCACTACACTTCCATGATGCCCACTAAACAATAACAAAATTAGGGCTGGGAATTTGGCTCAGTAGTTCCGCCGCCTGCCTTGCAAGCACAAGGACCTGAGTTCGATCCCCAGTACCAAAAAACAAAACAAAACAAAAAAATTAGGTGAGAGCTTCTTTGTGAACTAGATGGACATGTTTGATTACAAAGCTGTTGTATACCAAGATGGATATGTAAGTGTGTTGCAAAGACAATGCCATCATAAGCGGTATGCTAAAATACCATGCGTGGCTCCAGATCTCAAGTTTTCTCTGCAAAACTACGGAACTGTTGTCTGTTAACATTCTGCAGGGCTGCCGGGTGTGGTGGCGCACACCTGTCATCCCAGCAATCGGGAGGCTGAGGGAGGAGGATCGCTGTGAGTTCAAGACCAGCCTGGGCTACACAGTGAGTTCCAGGTCAGTCTCAACTACAGAGTGAGACCCTGTCTCAAAAATCCAAAACAACAACAACAACAACAAAAGATCCGCAGGGCTAAGAGGAAAGTCACTGTTTTGGCCGTGGCCCTCCAGGATGTGGGGGAACCTTTCCCACAGCCTCCTACAACTTGAGGGAGTTGTCCAGGTTCCTGAGCAGGGAGACCACTGGACTCCAGAGCACAAGAATCAACAAATGTTCAGCCTGCCCAAGGAGGGTCTTTAGAAGGGACCATTTGTTGAAGATGAGGCTTCAAGACAAGGAGAACTGACCCCGCCCACATGTTCCCCTAGGGAGGGACAGCAGTGATGGATGTCTAAATAGGCATCAGTCGCTGTGGGTGGGGACCAAAACCTCCCTAGCCTGTTCCTTCCCGGAAAATTCTTATTTGGTCCACGTACACTTGCTGTGTCTTGTTTCTCCATTTGATCTCCATTTCATCAACATTACTTAAGCGAATATGCTGGTAATCTTATTAGTTGACTGTAGCTTCGTCCCACCTCAGACCCACCTCACCTCCTGGCTTTGCTGAGTAAAACTCCCTTGAAAAGAGGGGGTTCCCCAGGCAATCTAGATTTTGAGATAGGGTCTTGCTACTAAATCACTAAATTACCCAGCTGGGGTTTGAACTTGGAATTCTCCTGCTTCAGCCTTCTAGAGAGCTAGGACTATAGGTGCATGCCCAAATACACAGTCCCTTAATAAATTTTAATGAACCTCAAGACCATAATGTTGCCAGGTGTGCTGGTGCACGCCTGCAATCCCAGCACTCGGGAGGCTGAGGCAGGAGGACTGCTGTGAGTTCAAGGCCAGCCTGGACTTACAGGGTGAGGCTATCTCCAAACATACGAACAAGCAAACAAACAAACCTATAATGTTTAGTGAAATAAAGACATGTGTTTAAATATTGCATGGCTTCTTTTCCATGAGTAAACTGATATAAAACAGCAAAACAAAAGACAGATAATTGGAAACAGGGAGATAGTTTGTTTTTTTTTCAAAAGGGAAGGGGACCAAGAGATGGGAGGTAAGAGGAGAGAGGATGAAAATGGAGTTAAGATGTGTTACCTAAGTGTACAGACTCCCCATTGTGCATTAGATTATGTACTACAAACATGCAGTAATAAAAAATTTCAAAAGTTTATTTATGCAGGGCATGGTGGTACATAACTGTAATCCCAGGACTCAGAAGGCTGAGGCAGGAGGATCTCCGGGAGTCGAAGGCCATCCTGGGCTACACAGTGAGTTCAAGGCCAGCCTGAACTACATAGCAAGACCCGGTCTCAATAAACTAAAAAAGCTGCGGTAAAGGGATCCCAAGACCAAAAAAATCTGAGAAACAGTGCTTTATGGGCAACAATCTCCATTATACAGACGAGGAAACTACCAAAGCCCTTTGTACTGGTTCCTGTAAATTTAGGATTAATTCAAGGACATAAGGTCAGTGCAGTGCTGGGTATTGTATTCAAACGGCTTCATTCCAGGAAAGAGTAAGTCTGCCAAACATCATTAAATGAGAGCGATAAAACTTCAAGTATCGGGGATTGAACTCAGTGACTTCGTGAATGGGAAGAGGGCCACTGAGCTAAATGCCCCGTCCCAAAGACTTTGCGGGGGAGCGAAGACGAGGTCCCACTCTGCGGTTTGGGCTGACCTTGAACTCACTATGTAGCCCAGGCGGGCGTCGAACTCTGGGAGATCGTCCTGCCTCAGTCTTGGAGTCCAGGATGATAGGCGTGCGCCACCTCGCCAGGGAGAAGACATGCTGATTACATCAGAAGTGTCAAGCATATTTCACGATTCTCTTGCTTGCTATCCACGTCCCTTAACTGGAGCGAGGCCCTAAATTTCTGGGCCCTCTCAAAGTCTCCGTAGCTTCTCGAATGCGAGCTCTGCTGGGGAACTGGAACTCAGAGGATTCAAACTGGGTCCCTCCAGGGATTTACTGAGGCTCCAGGAACCTGGGTGTTCTCCCCCGGACCGCCCACACTACACCCTACACTTTGCAGAACTGATCAACAAGGACAACTCCCGCTCTTGTGACCCACTGACACGCGCGCACATTTAGCAACACCCCCCCCGGATGCTGATTGGCTGCACTCCACGGCGGCGGGCAGGAGGCCGCCCCGGATTGGGCGTCGGCCCTCTATCGCGCACCTAGCCAGCCCACACCCTCGCGCGGAGAGCAGAGACCGCTCTCGGCCTGGGCGGGGTAGAGCCACGCCCCCGGAACGCATAGCCACTGAACGCCCGAGCTTGCGGGGGCGGGGCCTCCGAGGCTGCTTGGATTGGCTGGTCGGGAGCCATCTCCCGTCATGCACTGGGGTGCCGGCAACTCACCCGGAAGGAGAAGCCCAGACTCGCTATATGGAGCTCTCGCCGCGGGAGTGGGCGCTTCGCTTCGGTGAGTGGTCGTGGACGGGACCCTGGGGACTGGGGGGTGCTCTCAGGTGAGGAGTTGTGGGTATTTGGGTGATGGCCTCGCTTGACACCCTAGGGAAGGGACTGTCTCACTACTTGTGATGAAGGTGAGGGCTTGCTGGGGATCCTAGAAAAGAATCTGGCTTTCCAGTGTACTTTGCTAGTGTGAGGAATCTTTCCTTCCCGCTCCCACCCTTTATCGGGAAAGGACAAGACCACGGGGCTCTTTGGCTTGTCAGCTCGTTAAGAGTGGAGATGAGTGGCTGTACTTAGGGTTGAGCACATTTACTCAAGCGGCGAGGGCTGGTAGTAATGGCGAACGCTGTACACGCCCACAGGAGACGCCCTGAGTCGTGGGCGCCTTTGTCACCTTCCGAGTGGGAGGAGGAACTGGTTACAGATGGACAAAAAACGCGGAACAGACCTGCGTGATTGCGATCCCGAAGCTTGGTCAGACGCGGGAGGTTTCTCTACCCGTGGGTGTTTAGGAAGAAGAACAGTTTGGGTACTGGGGATTGAACTCAGAGCCTTCGCACTTTGAGACGTCCCCAGGCCTGGTAGTGTTTGCAGACAGGGCCTTCCCAAGTCACTAAGCTGCCCAGGCTGGGCCCGAATTTGCCACCCTCCTCCCTCGGCCTCTCCGAGTGCTGGGATCTCAGGCGTGCGCCGCCACCCCGGGTTGAGTTTATTAAGATATTGAAAAGCTTTAAAACAAATCTACCGCTGGGTCCCCACTAAGCGCTATTGGTGCTGGTACAGGGGGAGAAAGTAAATGATACAAAAACAGAAAAAAAAAAAAGTAAATGCTATATAGCTGCGACCCAAAGGGCTGGGCAAACAGCTCCAGTAAGTGATTAAACCTATGGGGCCCCTGACTCCATCCTTTGAATGCTGCTGTTTGGCTGAAGAACGTCCTGCTCCTCCTCGGACATAACTGAACTTTATTTTCTACTGGAAAATGTCTGCGGGGAGGAAACTGATGGAGAATAATAGTTGCTAGAAATTATCACCTGTATTTGTTCGAGTGTTTTAAACACAAGTTACAATCAAACACTTTGTTGGTGCCCTTGGAAGTTCGATTTCAGGGTACTGCATCTCCAGAGCTCTTGGATTCTTTTATTTGTTTGGGTGCTGGGGATTGAACCTAGGATCTTCTCATGGAGCTTAATCCCCAGCTAATTTTTTATTTTTTATTTTGACACAGGACCCTTTTCACTCATTTCAAGGTTGGGCTTGAACTTGTGATCCTCCTGCCTCATCTTCCCAGAGTGCTGGGATTTCAGGTAGGTACCACCATACCTGGCCTTTTTTTTTAAGTCCTTAGATAGGTATTTGTTTCTGAGGATGGGCTCAAGGGGAAGAAGACCTTCACATGGAAGTGATACAGAGCCCTATGCAAATTCTTCTCCAGATCAAAGTGGGATGAGCTTTTTAGTCACCGACTTCCGGTTCTGAATTTGGGAGACTTTTCCAGGCGCAGATGTAGACCCCCCTGAAGGTGTGGGTGACCACAGTTGCCTTGATAGCATCATTCCTGTTATTACTTTTATGAGAAGACATCAGAATATTGAACTCTGTTACTGTGCTGATAGTTTACCAATGCTTGAGAACAGGAAAAAACAAAACAAAAACAAACTTTTTTTCCTTTTAATCCAAGGGCGTTAACTGTACACAACAAATCTGTCTGCTCTCCCTGGTCACAGCCCTGGATCGCGTATATGTGGAATGTTATACGTGGGTTCAGTTCAGGACCCTTTGGTGGTGGTGAAAAATCAGACCGTCAGCAAGAATACCGTGGAATACGGCACTGAAATTGCAAAAATGCAGGTCCGCTCCACAGTACAGCCCGATTTTGTCACCTACCGTGGTGCTTTGTCTCTGTGCGCAGTGTCTGTCTGCAGAGAGACCTTCTGGTATATTGGAAGGCATTGCAAAAGCTGTTTGCTCTGCTCATTTCGGGCTGTAAATGAGTTCCCCTTCTCTGGAAACGTCAGCCTTGTGTTAGCAAAACATAAAATGGAAGGAAACTCATTACACGCTCTTCTAATGGTGAGGCAGAACTAATAAGAGAATGTGTTGGAAATTAATTGTGGAACTGTAACAACGAGTGGATTTGCGGGTGGGCACAGGCAGGGAGCTGAGAGTCTCGTTTTCCCAGGAGCTGGCCCCGGATCATTTGTTGGCAGTACTTACTGGCGGAAGTCAGTTTTCATTTCAAGGTAAATTGGAAAGGGAAATTAAACCTTATTGTTCCGCCCTTAAGAGAGGGGACGGGATGGAGGCGGCAGCCGGGGTGGATGCTGTGGGAGCGGTTTTGGGAGTGACAAGATTAGTGCTGTATTTTAACAGAAGGTGACATCATGGGCCCCTTTGGACTCGGGTAGCCCTGAGCCGCAGCCTTCATGGTCCCCTTGTTGGAGTGGGCGATGTCGCTGTGCCTGTAAACGGCCACACTGGGGGACATCAGGGCTGAGGCTTTAATGAATCTTTGCAAAGGAGCGAATGCGTCCTGAGCCGACCTGCGCAGCGGCGGGAGCTCGGGCGGAGGTACAAAGCGGATGCCGTGAGGCGCAAGTAAGTGATCACATCGCCCGGCTCCGGTGCCAGAGAACAGATTCAATCAGCGGCGCCTCCACCGGGCAGCCCTCTCCGGCGCTCCCCGGAGCACACCCCCGGTGACCCACTGGACAGGAGGTGACTGGTGACGGAGACGAAAGAGGCTCCGCACCAGAGCCCTGGTTTCCTGCCGGCTTGGTTTTCTCAGCATGGCCAGAAGGGGGCGCTGTTAGGCTCGCTTCCAAAGCTTCGCTCCCAGAGTGGGCCAGATGCTGTGATGCCTTTATCCTTAAGGCAACAGTGTTTTCTGTTTCTTGAGACAGATCTCACTGTGTGGTTCAGGCTGGCCTTGAACTCTCTGTGGCCCAGGCTCGCAGCGATCCTCCTGCCTCAGCCTCCCGAGTGCTGGGATGACAGGCGTGTGCTGCTAAACCCAGCTAAAGCACAAGTTTTACAGCCAGACCTGCCTCAGATGTGCTCTCCATGGGCCCCAGCGTGCTTTGGGTAGAGGTGGCCTTGTAGGGGAGCCTGGGGGTGATTTGAGAATGGAGTCCAATCTCCCTGGGCTTCAGCTTCGCACTGAGCTAATGTAGGGTCTGTGTGTGTATGCGTGTTTAGATTTGCATTTTTTGCTTCCTCTTTTAAGTTTTACACAGGACCAAAAAAAAAAAAAAAAAAATCTGGGTTTCCCCAGGGGGTGTCTGTTAGAAACTTTGAGGATTTTGCCCAGGTGGGCATTGGTGGGGACAGAAACACAGTGACTAACCACGCTTGTCCCTGTATCCTGTGCCCCTCATCAGATGTCCTTTTCCAACTGGCCTTGGGCGTAGGATGTCGGAGAACCCAGAGCAGGAGGTAAGCGTGGTCCTCAGGCCGGTGGGGGTGAAGTTGGAGGGGAGGCACAGACAGTACTGCTGTGCTGCCCGGTCCCCCAGGGACCCCACAAACTCCAAATGAAGGCGGAGAAAGAAGTCAGTAGCAGTGACATTGTCGGGAAGGGAAGCTCCTTTTTTTGTTTTATTGTATTTCTTTGGAGGTAGGGTCTTGCCGTGCAGTTCAAGCTGGCTTTGAACTCACTGTGTAGCCCAGACTGGCCTCGCTTGCAGCAATCCTCCTGCCTCAGCCTCCTGAGTGTTGGGGTCATAGGCGTGCGGCTTGCAATATAGACCGGCGAGCAGGGTTTCTGTGTCTTGTCCCAGGGCTCAGCATAGGGCCTGACAGGTAGTGGGTGCTTGGGAAATAGCGTTGAATGAATGAAGAAATGCAGGAAAGTTGGTGCCAGCTGTCCGAGCTGCCCTGCCCTGCGGCCCGATGGCGCCGAGGGCTGCTTCTTCCCGTCAGGAAGTGATCACAGTGCGCGTTCAGGACCCCCGCATGCAGAATGAGGGCTCCTGGAACTCCTACGTGGACTACAAGATCTTCCTCCATGTGAGCTCGTGGGGCGGGCGGGCTGGCCCCCTTGGTGGTCCCCGCCTTACCCTCTGCCTCACCTCCCTGCAGACCAACAGCAAGGCCTTCACCGCAAAGACTTCCTGCGTGCGGCGCCGCTACCGCGAGTTTGTGTGGCTGAGAAAGCAGCTGCAGAGAAACGCCGGCTTGGTGTGAGTTTCTCCGGGTCCCCCTCGGGTCTCGGGCAGGTGATGGGAGCTACAGCGTAGTGAAGGTAGCTTGTGACCCCCCACTCATCCAGAAAGGGTCCCTTCCCTCCCTCCCTTCCTTCATTCCAAAACAGGGTCTTGCTATATAGCGCAGGCTAGACTTGAACTCACAGGGACCCTCCTGCCTCAGCCTCCCTTGTACAGGGATGATAGGTGTGCACTGCCACCCTGGGCTTCTCCCCATTTGAAGCAAACTGTATGGACTGGCCGTCTCCTCAGGGGACTTCCTTATCGGGGCTGGCGTGGCTGTCCCAATGCGACACTCATGTGACCGGGCTGTCCCACTGTGACTCCACAGCCCTGTACCCGAGCTTCCTGGGAAAGCCCGGTTCTTTGGCAGCTCTGACGGGTTCATTGAGAGGCGCCGCCAGGGCCTGCAGTACTTCCTGGAGAAGTGAGTGGCCCCAGGGCCGCCGGGGCAGGGGCGGGGCGGCCATGCCCTTGGGGTGCCCAGTTCCTGTGCTCTCCCAGCATGGGGCAGTGACGTCCGTGTCGTGGTGCCCGGGCCACCCCAGGGTCCTGCAGAGCGTGGTCCTCCTGTCGGACAGCCAGCTGCACCTCTTCCTGCAAAGCCAGCTCTCGGTGCCCGAGATCGAGGCCTGCGTGCAGGGCCGGAGCCCCACCACGGTGGCCGACGCCATCCTGCTGTACGCCATGTCCAACTGCGGCTGGGCCCAGGAGGAGCAGCCCGGCGCGGCCTGCCAGGCGCAGGGCGATCAGCTCAACAGGTATGGAGGGCGCTGCGGCCATGCCTGGCGTTAGAAGTGCTGTGCGGGGAGGCAGTTTCGCAGCAGGCCCTGTCTGAGTGCCCGGTTCCCACGCTCAGAATGGGAAGGAGAGAAAGAGGAACAAGGCTTTCTCGTTTGTCCTAGATTTTTATTTTATTTTTTTAAAATGGTACCGGTGAATCCAGCTTGGGACCTGTGCTTGGGAGACGGGTGGTGGCACCTTTGAGCTAAATCCCTCATCCCCTGTCCTAGCTTTTTTTGAGACAGGGCCTCACTGTGTAGCCCAGGCTGACCTTGAATTGGTGGCGATCCTCCTGCTTCAGCCTCCCGAGTGCTGGGATGACAGATACCTGCCGTCACACCTGCCTGTCCTGTCCAGTTTGTTATCCCCCTATACCTATTTAAACAACAACTTGATTGCTGGGTGTGGTGACATACAAAACCCAGAAAAGTTATTGACCTAAAATTCACGTATTATAAATTTTACCTTTTTAGGGTGTAGTTCTGTAGTTTTTAGTAAATTCACAGCTGTGCAACCACCAGTCACCGCTTTGTAGTTTAGAACACTTACACATTCTAAAGAAAGCAAGCTGGCCAGGCACGGAGGCTGAGGCAGGAGGATCTTTGTGAGTTCAGCACCAGGAGGGGCTACCTAGTGAGTTCAAGGCCAGCCAGCACTACAAAGCAAGACTCTGTCTCAAAAAAACCCCAATCCAAACTTCGAACAAAACAAAGGGCCTGGGGGCACCACGCCCAGCTGGGGAGGTGCTTCCAAAGTACATCCGTCCGCATTAAGCTGTGTCTGATCTTCAGTGCCTTTTGTGGCTGCGTGATCCTGGCTCGATCCGCTGTTCCTCGCTGCCGACCCGGTCTCCTTCTCCTTCCGTTTCTCTCCTCCCCTCAGCAGTTGCTGCTTCCTTCCAAGGTCCAGGAGGAGGGGCTCACCCTCGCCGCCCCCCAGTGACAAGCAGGACGGACTGGCAGGATGGGCCCCCGTGGTTGACTCCGAGGAGCCTTCCCTGGAAAGCCCAGTGCTGCCGCCCCCCTCCTCGCCGCCATGCTGTGACCCTGACGAGGGACCCCCTGCTCCCCAGCCTGAGAGGGTGGGTGCGGGAGGTGACCATGCTGTGCCTTTGGTCTCTGGCCAGTTGGATGTAGTTTGGGAAAACTGAGGTCTTCTCTGAGCTCTGTGTTCTACTTGAAAACATTATGAACTGGGTGTGGTGGTGCAGGGCTGTACCCAGCACTCGAGAGGCTGAGGCAGGAGGATCTCTGAGTTCAGGGCTAACTCAGGCTACATAGATACAGTCTCAGCCTCCCCCCATAGGAAAAAAAAAAAAGACAGAAGATGCTGGTGGGAGACTGGTTCCTGCCGTAGGGTGGTGGGGAGGGGCACAGAGGTCTGTTGAGATTGTTCCTTCCCACCCCGCTGTAGCACAGATATCATGCAGCCGTTGCTAAGTTACACTGCAGCACTGGGCTGCTGCTTTTGATCGGAACCCTAGATTGAGTCTCTTGGGAGCCTAGTCTGTGGGTGGGCAATGGAGCCTCAGGTGACTGGCTTCGGGGACCGGCTGCCACATCGAACCTGGTCCCAACAGCTGTGCTCACGGGCCTGTATTCTCTTGGCTGGCTCCCATATTTTTGTTTCATTTTTGTGTGTGTGTGTCCTGGACATTGGACCTACGGTGGCTGCACTGAGCCACTTCCCTACCCCATTATTTTTTTTATTTTGAGACAGGGTCTCGATGAGTTGCCCAGGCTGCCCCTTGAACTTGCCATCCTCCTGCCTCAGCCTCCTGTGGAGCTTCAGTTTTTGCTGCGGCTCCCAGAGCACTGTGTTTGGGGGGTGCACCGGGCTCCTGCCTACCTCCTCACCCAGCGCTTACGCCTCCTCACTTTTCCTCAATAATCCCGCGGGGCGGATCAGGTGCAGAGACCCCTTTTGCTGGAGCTGTGGCAGCTCCTGTGCACCCAGGAGAGGTGCCTCGGTCCAGGCTGCAGGGAGGCGGGGCTGGGGCTTTGGCTTGGAGCAGTGACCTTGTTTTTCCTGCAGGCTTAGCGTGGCCTAGCTGTGCCCAGTACTTTTCTTTCCCTTTATGGGCAGCTCCATCCCCAGGGCACAGTGGAGCGGGGAGGCAGCCTGTTCAGTCCAGGAGGAAGGGCAGCCCCGGGATGAGGATGAGGCGGGAGGGGCTCCCCGCATGGCCTCGCGCCTGCGCCCCAAGCTCCCAACCTCTGTGGCGGCATCTGGTTCACAGTTGAGGGGCTTTGGCCTGAAATAAAACGCAAGTATTTAAGGCTGTTGTGATTTGTGTCTAACCAGCTGGAGCCCAGGTCGGCCTCGAACTCACTCCGGCCCAGGCTGGCCTGTGAACTCGCAGCGACCCTCCTGCCTCAGTCTCCCTCGCTGATCGGCGTGGAAATGAGGGTTCAGAACGGGCACAGCTGCCGTCCGCCCCAGTCCGCCGCCTTCCGGAGCCGGAGCCGGGATGCAGCTCCCCTCCGGGGCTGGAGCCGCGTCAGGTGTGATTTACCTGCCCGGTCGCCCCTCGCAGCCTGCGAGCCCGGCCAGGTGCTGAACGGGAGGTCGTTTGTCAACAGGCAGATGCCGAGCCGGCTGGCGCTCATCCTTGCCTCCCGCCCGCCTCCCCTGGGCCTCTCCTTCATCCGAGGCAGCCGAGCAAGGCGAGACTCGAAAACGCACGGTGGCAGATCCAAAAGTGTCAAAAGAAGTTCATTGAAGAGGGGGGTTAAAAAAAACCCCACACGCAGCCCTCGCAAAAACCCGACAGATGCTCAGCTAATGGCATCCGCGCCGCCGATTGGTGGGGACGGCTCATGAATATTAATGAGCCCGGGGCTCCAAATGGTGCAGCTGTGAACCCAGCTGTGCGCAGCGCTCTGATCTCGAAAGTTCCAGACCGGAGCCGGAGGGTGGTCCGCGGCAATTCCCCACTCGGCCAAAAAGCAGCGACCTCCTTCCGCCCGCCCCCTTCCCCAGTCGCTCTGCCAGCAGGCGCCGCGCAGGCAGCCTGCGATTTCCGACTCGCAGCTTTTTTTTTAACGATCCATTAGCAGCTTGCTCTGCAGTCCCGAGTGCATCCAGCCGGGTGCGGGTTTGGTGCAGTGCTGAGTGGAGGAGCGGGGCAGCCGCGTCCCGGGAAGGGAGGGCTCCGGGACGGTCCCCAGGGGCCCCCAGGTCTGGTGACCTCTCCGGGAGTGGCCCACCCACCTGTGTTACACAATGAAAGCTCTTTGCATTTACAGGGTGAGGCTTGCTTTAGTCACCGTTCTTCTTTGAGCCAGGGTCTCTCTCCGCAGCCCAGGCCGGCCTTCAGTTCACAGCAACCCTCCTGCCTCAGCCTTCCAAATGCTGGGGATCACAGGCCTACGCCGCCACCCTGGCCTCTCCGTCTTTCTCCTGAAAGCTATTTCCTTGGGCTGAGCCTTGTCATCTGTTACTGAGGGGAAGTAAGGGGACCTGGGTGTATGGGGGGTGTTATTTGGTGAAGTGCATGTCTGAGTGTGTGTGTGTGTGTGTGTGTGTGTGTGTGTGCGCGCACGTGTGTGTAGGGGAAGCTTTGGTTTTCTTACATTAGGGTAACCTTGTATGCATCTTCTAGGACCTCAGTGCCTGGTGAGGAGGGTAGGCAGGTTTTACCCTCCACTTTCCACTGAGAGACCCGGTGTGGTGGTGCACACCAATAATCCCACGCTCAGGAGGCTGAGGTAGGAGGATTGCCTAGAGTTTGAGGCCACTTTGGGCTATGTAGGAAGAACTTTTCTCAAAATAAGAAAAAAAATGGAAATTTTAAAAAGCATGTTTTTAGATGACCACAGAGTATGTTCTCTTGGTTGCTTTCCTCAGGAAGGGCTGTGATCCCTAAACCATTGTGTTGTGCCTTTTTGTTTGTTTGTTTTGTTTTGTTTTTGGAGACAGGGTCTCACTATATAGTTGAGACTGACCCGGAATTCACTATGTAGCCCAGGCTGGTCTCAAAGTCAGTGATCCTCCTGCCTCAGCCTCCCCGGTGCTGGGATAACAGGTGTGCACCACCACGCCCGGCTTTTTTTTTTTTTTTTTT